TAGTGAGTGATTTTCGTGTGCAAGTTCGGTACTAGTCCCTCTAGGATTTTCCAGGTGTATATAATCATGTATCTCTCCCGCCTGCGTTCCAGGGAATACAGGTTCAGGAACCTCAAGCGCTCCCAGTAATTGAGGTGTTTTATCTCCGTTATGCGCGCCGTGAAGGTTCTCTATACATTTTCTAGGTCGGCAATTTCACCTGCCTTGAAAGGTGCTGTTAGTGTGCAGCAATATTCCAGCCTAGATAGAACAAGTGACCTGAAGAGTGTCATCATGGGCTTATCCTCCCTAGTTTTGAAGGTTCTCATTATCCATCCTGTCATTTTTCTAGCAGATGCGATTGATACAATGTTATGGTCCTTGAAGGTGAGATCCTCCGACATGATCACTCCCAGGTCTTTGACGTTGGCGTTTCGCTCTATTTTGTGGCCAGAATTTGTTTTGTACTCTGACGAAGATTTAATTTCCTTGTGTTTACCATATCTGAGTAATTGAAATTTCTCATCGTTGAACTTCATATTGTTTTCTGCAGCCCACTGAAAGATTTGGTTGATGTCCGCCTGGAGCCTTGCAGTGTCCGCAATGGAAGACACTGTCATGCAGATTCGGGTGTCATCTGCAAAGGAAGACACGGTGCTGTGGCTGACATCCTTGTCTATGTCAGATATGAGGATGAGGAACAAGATGGGAGCGAGTACTGTGCCTAGTGGAACAGAGCTTTTCACCGTGCCTGCCTCGGACTTTACTCTGTTGACTACTACTACTCTGTTCTGTTAGTGAGGAAATTATAGATCCATCGACCGACTTTTCCTGTTATTCCTTTAGCACGCATTTTGTGCGCTATTACACCATGGTCACACTTGTCGAAGGCTTTTGTAAAGTCTGTATATATTACATCTGCATTCTTTTTGTCTTCTAGTGCATCTAGGACCTTGTTGTAGTGATCCAATAGTTGAGACAGACAGGAGCGACCTGTTCTAAACCCATGTTGCCCTGGGTTGTGTAACTGATGGGTTTCTAGATGGGTGGTGATCTTGCTTCTTAGGACTCTTTCAAAGATTTTTATGATATGGGATGTTAGTACTATCGGTCTGTAGTTCTTTGCTGTTGCTTTACTGCCCCCTTTGTGGAGTGGGGCTATGTCTGTTGTTTTTAGTAACTGTGGGATGACCCCCGTGTCCATGCTCCCTCTCCATAGGATGGTAAAGGCTCGTGATAGGGGCTTCTTGCAGTTCTTGATGAACACGGAGTTCCATGAGTCTGGCCCTGGGGCAGAGTGCATGGGCATGTCATTTATTGCCTGTTCGAAGTCATTTGGAGTCAGGATAACATCAGATAGGCTTGTGTTAACCAAATTCTGTGGCTCTCTCATAAAAAATTCATTTTGATCTTCGACTCTCAGTCTGGTTAGTGGCTTGCTAAAAACTGAGTCATATTGGGACTTGAGTAGCTCACTCATTTCCTTGCTGTCATCTGTGTAGGACCCATCTTGTTTAAGTAGGGGCCCAATACTGGACGTTGTTCTCGACCTTGATTTGGCATAGGAGAAGAAATACTTTGGGTTTCTTTCGATTTCATTTATGGCTTTTAGTTCTTCCCGCGATTCCTGACTCCTATAAGATTCCTTTAGCTTAAGTTCGATGTTTGCTATTTCTCTGACCAGTGTCTCCCTACGCATTTCAGATAGATTGACCTCTTTTAGCCGCTCTGTTATTTTTTTCCGTCGCCTGTAAAGGGAGCGCCTGTCTCTTTCTATTTTACATCTACTCCTCCTTTTTCTTAGAGGAGTAAGTCTTGTGCATACATCGAGTGCCACCAAGTTAATCTGTTCTAGGCATAAGTTGGGGTCTGTGTTGCTTAGTATATCTTCCCAGCTTATATCGGTTAGGACTTGGTTTACTTGGTCCCACTTTATGTTTTTGTTATTGAAGTTGAATTTGGTGAATGCTCCCTCGTGACTAATCTCATTTTGTCGGTCTGGGGCTCCGTGCATACATGTCTGAACCTCAATTATGTTGTGATCTGAGTATATTGTTTTTGATATGGTGACATTTCTTATCAGATCATCATTGTTAGTGAAGATGAGGTCTAGTGTATTCTCCATTCTAGTAGGCTCTATTATTTGCTGGTTTAAATTGAATTTTGTGCAGAGATTTAAAAGCTCGTGCGAGTGTGAGTTTTCATCAGAGCTGCCTCCTGGTGTTATTACTGCAACAATATTATTTGCTATATTCCTCCATTTTAGGTGCCTTAAGTTGAAATCCCCCAGGAGCAAGATGTTGGGTGCAGGAGCCTGGAGTTTACCTGGAGAGAGTTTCGGGGGTCAACGCCCCCGCGGCCCGGTCTGTGACCAGGCCTCCTGGTGGATCAGCCCCTGATCAACCAGGCTGTTGCTGCTGGCTGCACGCAAACCAACGTACGAGCCACAGCCCGGCTGATCAGGAACTGACTTTAGGTGCTTGTCCAGTGCCAGCTTGAAGACTGCCAGGGGTCTGTTGGTAATCCCCCTTATGTGTGCTGGGAGGCAGTTTTAACAGTCTCGGGCCCCTGACACTTATTGTATGGTCTCTTAACGTGCTAGTGACACCCCTGCTTTTCATTGGGGGATGGTGCATCGTCTGCCAAGTCTTTTGCTTTCGTAGTGAGTGATTTCGTGTGCAAGTTCGGTACTAGTCCCTCCAGGATTTTCCAGGTGTATATAATCATGTATCTCTCCCTCCTGCGTTCCAGGGAATACAGGTTTAGAAACCTCAAGCGCTCCCAGTAATTGAGGTGTTTTATCTCCGTTATGCGTGCCGTGAAAGTTCTCTGTACATTTTCTAGGTCGGCAATTTCACCTGCCTTGAAAGGTGCTGTTAGAGTGCAGCAATATTCCAGCCTAGATAGAACAAGTGACCTGAAGAGTGTCATCATGGGCTTGGCCTCCCTAGTTTTGAAGGTTCTCATTATCCATCCTGTCATTTTTCTAGCAGATGCGATTGATACAATGTTATGGTCCTTGAAGGCGAGATCCTCCGACATAATCACTCCCAGGTCTTTGACGTTGGTGTTTCGCTCTATTTTGTGGCCAGAATTTGTTTTGTACTCTGGAAGATTTTCCAGACAGTGGTCAATTTTTAACAGCTGTTCCTGGAATTGCTGGGATGTTGCATCCGGAGGCTTGTAGACTACCACAATGACTAGGTTTTGGTTCTCGATCTTTACTGCTAAAACTTCCACTACATCATTTGAGGCATTAAGCAGTTCTGTGCAAACAAGTAACTCTGCAATGTACAGGCCAATCCCCCCCTTTTGCCTGTTCACTCTGTCACATCTGTATAGGTTGTAACCTGGGATCCATATTTCGTTGTCCAAGTGATCCTTTATGTGGGTCTCAGTGAAAGCCGCGAACATTGCCTTTGCCTCTGCAAGCAGTCCACGGATGAAAGGTATTTTGTTGTTTGTTGCTGGCTTTAGACCCTGTATATTTGCAAAGAAGAATGTCATCGGACTGGTGGTATTGTTGGTACTGGTTTTTTTTTTTTTTTCCGGCATTAGTATCTGTATCTGTTGGTTTGGAGTGGAGGCCATTGACTGTGGTTCCACTCCAGGAATGACTGGATTTGGTGTACAATTTCTGCCATTTCCTGCCAGTTTTTTTTCCTTCCTGGCACTAAAAAACCTCTCCCTCTTGAGTGGCTGTGGCTACCCAGGTTTTCCCATGGCCTGGATGTTTTGTATCTTTTTGTCCCCTTTAGATGGTGTGCCTGGCAATTTAAGTTATAGCACAGTCTTTCCTGTACTGAAGAGGTACACATTTTAGGGTGAAAAAGCTTACAGGAAGGGAGTTTGCATTTTCCTGTTGTCATATGGGCACGGCATTTTCTAGGGTGGTCATAGTTGCACGTCCCGTCTGTTTTTCCAGATTTCCCATGTCTGCAGATACCAAGTGCATAGTATGTGCACAGTGTGACCTAAGTGTAAGTAGAAGTAGCAAGATATACCTGTTATCCAGCATGTTTATGAGACAGGAATAAGACATGTAACATTTTACTCTAAGAAATTTCATTAAAAAAGAATATTGGCTATCAGTATGTAAAACAACAGAGTAGTTGAAGATAAAAAATAATGACAATGCTAATGAGTGAAGCCAATAGCAGAGTAAAAAGCAGAGTATCTTGAAGTAAAAGGTGAAGCACTAACCAGAGGAAAAGGACTGTACAATGATTTACATTTTGCTTTTTTTTTTTTTTTTTTTTTTACTCAATTTACAAGCAATATAGATCAATCAGGATTTAATCAACTGTTTCACTTGTTTCATGCTACAGTAAATATATAGAATAGTAAATACAGACTACTAGGAAGTACATTATAATAAAATTAATCATTATTAATCTATTAATCTTTTAATTTCTTTATCTGATCACATTGTGCAAACTGGTGCCAATTACCTATTTCTCTTTTGTATCTACATAGGCTTACGGGTAACAATACCCAGACTAATGAGGTAGTCACTAGCAAAGTCAGAACTGAGGTCAGGATATTATTACAATCAAAACTAAGTGCTAAACTCAGTCGGGATGATGATAAAGCTCAAAACCAGCTAAAATTAACATTACAGGAAACTGAATACAAGCACTATGTGAACAAGGCAGGAAGACTCTTTTGAAGGACTGGATGAAATTACACATTCTCAAGACTAAAGAATGATGAGACTTTATACAAGACAGTGTTAGTACATACAGTAATATTTCTGAAGAACAAAGTGAAACAGTTTCTAATAAGCTGATCTTTCCATATACATACTGTGCAACTCTTTAATAAAGTATATATCATATTTATCTTTTTATTAGTTTTTTTTTTTTTTGACATGTAGACATACTGCACGGTTCAAAATACAAATAAATTTATTACAAATACGTATCCTGTATTCAGTATTTTTGGTATCTTATGAATATTCAGGGATTTTTTAAAAAAGTAAGCATTTTCAAACATTCAAAATAAACAAATGTAATAATTACCTGTTTCTGGTTTTTCTAGGTTAAATATTTTGAGAAGTTTTTCATGGGAACCAGTTAGGAGCTCAACTGAATTTGGAGAGTATGCAACAGTCTTCACAATATGGGAATGTGAGAAGGAGTGCAACTCTTCCCCAGACACAGCATCCCATATCTATAGACAAAGTAATATCACTTTAGTAAATTTAAAGTAGTTTCAGAGTGAATATTCACAATTTTTTACTTTTAACATTCTTTTATTTCAAGGATAATGTTTACCTTAATATCAATATTTATATAAGCTAAAAGAGATATTAATTAGAGCCTACCTTGGCTGTGAAGTCTGCAGCTGCTGTGGCTGCCCGTGATGCATCTGCATTAAGAGCTACTCCCCATACTGCTCCTTTATGACCCTCAAATGTTCCAATCCAGTCACCAGTATTGCCCTGACGTAGCATTGGCTTTCCATCTACATAAACACCAATACAGTATACAATAATTACAGAGAAAACAATTCTGGCCAATCACACTTAAGAGTCAAATATTTTGTTTATTATTTATTTAGGCAACTCCATATTTTAAAGTTGAGTATGTATAGTATTAAAGTAATTCATATTCAGAACTGAATCATACTGAATAAAGTCATCACAAGCATACATAAGTGACATTTATATGACATCTTAATGTAGTACTTATGGTTTACCTGGAGTTTACCTAGAGAGGGTTTCAGGGGTCAATGCCCTCGCAACCCGGTCTGAGACCAGGCCTCATGGTGGATCAGGGTCTGATCAACCAGGCTGTTACTGCTGGCCAAATGCAGGCTGATGTACAAACCACAGCCCGGTTGGTCAGGTACTGACTTTAGGTGCCTGTCCAGTGCCTTCTTGAAGACAACCAGGGGTCTATTGGTAATCCCTTTTATGTATGCTGGGAGGCAAATGAACAGTCTTGGGCCCCGGACACTTAATGTGTTGTCTCTCTGTGTACTCGTGGCACCCCTGCTTTTCATCAGGGGAATGTTACATCTCCTGCCGAGTCTTTTGCTTTTGTATGGAGTGATTTTCGTTTGCAGGTTTGGTACCAATCCCTCCAGGACCTTCCAAGTGTATTATCATGTATCCCTCTTGCCTGCATTCGAAGGAATACAGAGCAAGGACCTTCAGCCATAGCTAATTCCTCAAAAGAATTTAATTCCATGGGGCTCCTATAGTATTAATCTCATTTAGACATACAGTACTTTATATCATTTGTCATTGCATAGGATGGCCTGTGGTCTGGTAGGCAAAGCGCTCACTTCACACACTGAGGTTTCATGGTTCGATTCCTGGCAAGAGCGAAACACTGAGCAAGTACCTCACTGGCAACTATCCAAATACTACTCTATTTCTAGCTCCAACTAATCCCACTGAAGTCTCACTCGTCATTAAATCATTAAAGAACAAATAAGATGATCTAGATAACTTGCTGCCATTCATATATAAAAAAGCTGCACCAGAATTGTTACCCATTATTGCAACAATGTTTAACAAATCTATAGCTTCCTCAACCTTCCCATCCATACTCAAGACAGCAAGGGTCACCCCGATCCACAAACGTGGAGATCCAACTGATTTGAGCAATTTCAGACCCATATCAAACTTGCCCTTACTCTCCAAGATATTTGAAAAAATAATACACAAGCGACTTTATTCCTACCTTGCATCCAACAACATACTTAACCCATGCCAGTTTGGGTTTAGACCAAAAAAAAAGTACGAATGATGCTATTATACAAATGCTTGACCTAATATACACAGCTCTCGATAAAAATGAATATCCTCTGGGGCTCTTTATTGACCTAAGAAAAGCGTTTGACACAGTTGACCACAATCTCTTGCACCTCAAACTGAATCATTAAAGCATAAGAGGACATTCTCTTGACTACCTAAAATCCTATCTTAACGACAGACACCAGTATGTACATGCAAATGGAGTCAACTCCGCTATCCAACTTGTAGCTAAAGGAGCACTCCAGGGTAGTGTCCTAAGTTCACTCCTCTTTCTCATCTACATCAATGATCTCCCCAATGCATCCTAACTCCTTAAACCAGTTCTATTTGCAGATGACACTACATATGTCTACTCCCATTCAGACCCAGCTGTGCTTGGAAACACTGTAAACAATGAACTGCTAAAGATATATGCATGGACGATGACCAACAAACTCACTCTCGGCATAGATAAAACATACTTCATGCTGTTTGGCAACAGAGCCTCAAATATTCAACTCAACATACTGTTAAATGGTTCCCCTATATCAAGACACACGGAGGGCAAATTTCTAGGTCTTCTACTTGACTGTAATCCTGAATTTCAGTCCCATACCCATCAACAGCCAAGAAAATTTCCAAATCAGTAGGAATCCTTTCCAAGATACGCTACTATGTACCACAAACGACTCTCCTTACCCTGTACCACTCTCTAATATATCCTTACCTCACCTATGGTATCTGTGCCTGGGGCTCAACCACTGCCAACCACCGTAGACCCTTAATAATCCAGCAAAAAGCTGCTGTAAGGGTGATAACCAGCTCCTGTGCTAGACAGCACACACCACCACTTTTCAAAAGACTCAACTTGCTAAATATACAAGATATATACTCTTATTATTGTGCCTACTACATATACATACTACAATTCAACAGTTACAACAGAATGCACAATCACAATACAAGGCATAAGTCACTTTTCAATATGCCTCAAGTCAGATTCTCACCATGCAAGAACATTATGCACATAAAAGGCCCGAAGATCTGGAACTCGCTACCGGAACAGGTCAAGGATCCCCAGACAGCTTATAAATTTAGGACTTTGCTAAAAAATCATCTTATCTCACAATATTAACCAAATCAACCAAACATCTGCTAACTAGTTTTATCATGTGACCTCTAGGCTCTTAATTCTGCCAATCCATAAAATCATTTTGTTTCTCAATATTAACCAAATCTGCCAAAACATCTGCTAACTAGTTTTATCATGTGACCTCCTGGCTTTTAATTCTGCCATTCCATAAATATTACCACCTGCACCAATACTTGTAAGTTAGATTTTGTGCTAAGTTTACATAAGATTTATTAAGTTCAAATAAGATTGTAAAACAGCTAACCATTATTCCTTGTTTAGTTTTAAGTATAGTTACTATGTACTATTATCTTATCTAGTTTTAATTTGTTATTATGTATTAGGATTAGTTTGCCCAAAATTCCTCGACATCATAGTGGTTATCTTTGTACTTAGCAAATCAAAATTGTAATTACACATTGCAACCTTTACAAAGAAATAAACTTTATTTATTTATTTATTTATTTACACCTGATGTCCCTGTTCACCTATCAGTAAAATGGGTACCTGGGTGTTAGTCGACTGGTGTGTCGCATCCTGGGACAAAACTGACCTAATTTGACCGAAATGCTCTGCATAACAAGCGGCTTTCTATATAGTTTACCTGGAGTTTACCTGGAGAGAGTTCCGGGGGTCAACGCCCCCGCGGCCCGGTCTGTGACCAGGCCTCCTGGTGGATCAGAGCCTGATCAACCAGGCTGTTGCTGCTGGCTGCACGCAAACCAACGTACGAGCCACAGCCCGGCTGATCAGGAACTGACTTTAGGTGCTTGTCCAGTGCCAGCTTGTCCAGTGCCAGCTTGTCCAGTGCCAGCCAGCTAGTAGTATGTCATTGATGTCAGCTAGGCCTGTATACCTTGTACATGTATTTATAGAAATAAAAAATAATATTATTATGATTATTATCATCATCAATGGTACACAATACGTACTGACAAGCGTGATGAATTAGACGTGCAAAAACCTGAGTATTGTCTTCAAAATAGAGATACCCAGGTTTCACACGTCTCATTCATCAATTTATTCTTATATTCAGGGGAATCACCAAGGAAAAATGGAGGGGAAGGGGGGGGAGGTGACTGAAGCCCCCCCCCAGAGCCCACTTAAATAAAAATTCTATAATAAATATGCTGCTTCAAGGTAAGTGCTCTAGATGCTCTTCTTCCAACAAGATGCCATCCCTAAGCACATCCTACGTAAAACTTTCGAGTTAACATTGTAAACGTTTAAAGTTGTGTACGATACCTAAATTCACAATTAACAAGGTACGCAACAGAAATAAATTGCTTTGAATTTTTTAGGCTATTTTAAATAATTTACACATTACTATGAAAGACAACTGTAATCATCCAAATTATTATTACGTTCATGGGAAAGTGCTAAACCCAAAGGCTCATAGTGCCTGGGAAAAGCATTCAGGCTAGATTCGAGGAATTGGAGGACAGGTTCAATTCCTTGGATCAAGAGCTCCTCACCAGCATGAAGGAACCTTCCCTGAAGGATAATGAACTGCAAATTTTTTTTTTTTTTTTTCAACAAGTCGGCCGTCTCCCACTGAGGCAGGGTGTATTAATAAAAAAGAAGTGCTAAACCATAAGGGTTATACACTGCAAATTGTATAAAATTGTTGTCTAATGAACTTATTTACCAACCATCCCGCCACTGCAAGTAAATGAGTAAGATTATTTAGGTAGAGGTACACATAAATAAAATTCTTATAGTTACATATGGATGTTAATGACTCAGGATAACACAAAAAAAAGTCAAGACTTATATGCAGTAGTGGTGGAGCGCGGGGTAGTAATGATGTTTATTTAGACACAGGTACACACAAGTACAATTATCATACCTAGTAACATTATATATAAATGACCCAGTATAACCCCACAAAAATGTCAAGTTAAAGTGACATATCCAGTGTGATGGTTGACTGCTGTAGTGACAAGTGAAAGTTGCAGGTGTCTTCCAGCAGCACTATCATCAAGCCTCAACTACCTTTACTAGCTGAGATGAGGAAGTATCCATCAGGACAGAGCTGAGAGAAGGCCAGGTGAACCACAGGTCGTGTATGACCACTACAAGTGAGAGGAGTCTGACGTAGTGTAGCAGCCATACTTGTCTGCCTCCTTCACAACTCTTCCTTCCTACAACTTTATCTCCCACTTTCCCTTCAGTATTTTGGGGGGTTGACGGGGGAGGGAGGAGAATAATGGAAGTTGAACTTGTCTTATGATGGTCCCCGGCAAGTTCTTCCTCAGTCTACCTTTAATGTAGCTCATTAATTTACTGTCTTAGTTTGTGAAATGTATCATTTATGTTGTTCAAGAAAGTATTGGAACCTTATGCAATATTACCACATGATTGATGATTATGATGATTATGATGATTGGTGATTACTGGTGATGATGATGACTGATGATGATGATTGGTGATGATTGGTAATTGATGATGATGACTGATGATCATAATCATGATCATGATTTGCGATGATTGATGATGATCGGTGATGATTGATAAGGATGATTGATGATAATTGGTGATGATTCATAATGATGATTGATGATAATGATTATCATGATGATTGATAATTGGTGATTGATGATAATAATGATCATGATTAGTCATGATTGGTGATGATTGAGAATGATGATGATAAGGATATGTGATGATAGTTGATGATTGGTAATGATGATGACGATTGATGATCATCATGATTGGTAATGATTGTTAGTGGACTGGTGTGGGTCACATCCTGGGTGTTAGTGGACTGGTGTGGGTCACATCCTGGGTGTATGACTGTGTGGGTCACATCCTGGGTGTTAGTGGACTGGTGTGGGTCACATCCTGGGTGTTAGTGGACTGGTGTGGGTCACATCCTGGGTGTTAGTGGACTGGTGTGGGTCACATCCTGGGTGTTAGTGGACTGGTGTGGGTCACATCCTGGGTGTTAGTCGACTGGTGTGGGTCACATCCTGGGTGTTAGTCGACTGGTGTGGGTCACATCCTAGGTGTTAGTCGACTGGTGTGGGTCACATCCTGGGTGTTAGTGGACTGGTGTGGGTCACATCCCGGGTGTTAGTCGACTGGTGTGGGTCACATCCTGGGTGTTAGTGGACTGGTGTGGGTCACATCCTGGGTGTTAGTGGACTGGTGTGGGTCACAGCCTGGTGTTAGTGACTGGTGTGGGTCACATCCTGGGTGTTAGGACTGGTGTGGGTCACATCCTGGGTGTTAGTGGACTGGTGTGGGTCACATCCTGGGTGTTAGTCGACTGGTGTGGGTCACATCCTGGGTGTTAGTCGACTGGTGTGGGTCACATCCTGGGTGTTAGTCGACTGGTGTGGGTCACATCCTGGGTGTTAGTCGACTGGTGTGGGTCACATCCTGGGTGTTAGTCGACTGGTGTGGGTCACATCCTGGGTGTTAGTCGACTGGTGTGGGTCACATCCTGGGTGTTAGTGGACTGGTGTGGGTCACATCCTGGGTGTTAGTCGACTGGTGTGGGTCACATCCTTGGTGTGGTTTTAGTGGACTGGTGTGGGTCACATCCTGGGTGTTAGTGAACTGGTGTGAGTCACATCCTGGGTGTTAGTGGACTGGTATGGGTCACATCCTGGGTGTTAGTGACTGGTGTGGTCACATCCTGGGTGTTAGGACTGGTGTGGCACATCCTGGGTGTTAGTGGACTGGTGTGGGTCACATCCTGGGTGTAGTGACTGTAGCACTGGGGTCATGGACTGGTGTTTACCTGGAGTTTACCTGGAGAGAGTTCCGGGGGTCAACGCCCCCGCGGCCCGGTCTGTGACCAGGCCTCCTGGTGGATCAGAGCCTGATCAACCAGGCTGTTGCTGCTGGCTGCACGCAAACCAACGTATGAGCCACAGCCCGGCTGATCAGGAACCGACTTTAGGTGCTTGTCCAGTGCCAGCTTGAAGACTGCCAGGGGTCTGTTGGTAATCCCCCTTATGTGTGCTGGGAGGCAGTTGAACAGTCTCGGGCCCCTGACACTTATTGTATGGTCTCTTAACGTGCTAGTGACACCCCTGCTTTTCATTGGGGGGATGGTGCATCGTCTGCCAAGTCTTTTGCTTTCGTAGTGAGTGATTTTCGTGTGCAAGTTCGGTACTAGTCCCTCTAGGATTTTCCAGGTGTATATAATCATGTATCTCTCCCTCCTGCGTTCCAGGGAATACAGGTTTAGGAACCTCAAGCGCTCCCAATAATTGAGGTGTTTTATCTCCGTTATGCTTGCCGTGAAAGTTCTCTGTACATTTTCTAGGTCGGCAATTTCACCTGCCTTGAAAGGTGCTGTTAGTGTGCAGCAATATTCCAGCCTAGATAGAACAAGTGACCTGAAGAGTGTCATCATGATGATCTTGCAACTGAATGTTGTCTTATGATGATCTTGCAACTGAATGTTGTCTTATGATGATCTTGCAACTGAATGTTGTCTTATGATGATCTTGCAACTGAATGTTGTCTTATGATTATCTTGCAACTGAATGTTGTCTTATGATGATCTTGCAACTGAATGTTGTCTTATGATGATCTTGCAACCGAATGTTGTCTTATGATGATCTTGCAACTGAATGTTGTCTTATGATGATCTTCCAACAGAATGTTGTCTTATGATGATCTTGCAACTGCATGATAAAGTTGATATGTTAGCCAAGAAGAGTATCCAGAAGGAGAATGTAGAATATAACTTTGGTATAACTGTGTCTAGCACTAGGAATAATATTAGGAGAGAAGTAAATAATGAAAATTATTGTTATAGGAATGCAGTTAGAAGCCTGAGTAGATCTATAACCCACTATGATAACATGAACGTAGATAAGTATGTTTATGGAGCAACTTGCAATGTGAACAGACTGACTGATGTTGTAGTGGCCAGGCTTAGGCTTGGTTACAAGTACTGACTGATGTTGTAGTGGCCAGGCTTAGGCTTAGTTACAAGTACTGACTGATGTTGTAGTGGCCAGACTTAGGCTTGGTTACAAGTACTGACTGATGTTGTAGTGGCCAGACTTAGGCTTGGTTACAAGTACTGACTGATGTTGTAGTGGCCAGGCTTAGGCTTGGTTACAAGTACTGACTGATGTTGTAGTGGCCAGACTTAGGCTTGGTTACAAGTACTGACTGATGTTATAGTGGCCAGGCTTAGGCTTGGTTACAAGTACTGACTGATGTTGTAGTGGCCAGGCTTAGGCTTGGTTACAAGTACTGACTGATGTTGTAGTGGCCAGACTTAGGCTTGGTTACAAGTACTTCTGGCAGTTTGGGAGACACACAGATGATGATCAAACTAAATGTAAATTATGTGATCAGGCATATGGTCACTCTCTTGAACACTATGTGCTTAATTGTCCACTTATTGAGGAATACAGAGACAGACAGATAATAACCTATGTGACATGTCAAGATATCTTATTAATGAAAATAAGATACCAGATATACTAAGCAAATTTCCTAAATTTGCTTGTAACAGATAAGTGAACTATAGATATGTAGATACAAATCCATATGTATTCCTGTTAACCCTTTGGGGCCTAGTTCCTAGGCCTTTTGTGTATCCATATGTTCTTGCGCTACCGTCCACAGGATGGATATGGGGTGCACAATAAACTAGCCACTTGGGTGGCAAAATCTAAAAAATCTAATCTTGCAACTGAATGTTGTCTTATGATGATCTTGCAACTGAATGTTGTCTTATGATGATCTTGCAACTGAATGTTGTCTTATGATGATCTTGCAACTGAATGTTGTCTTATGATGATCTTGCAACTGAATGTTGTCTTATGATGATCTTGCAACTGAATGTTGTCTTATGATGATCTTGCAACTGAATGTTGTCTTATGATGATCTTGCAACTGAATGTTGTCTTATGGAGGATACCATTGCTTCACTTTACTCTGATCTCCAGGGATCCAGGGATGATCTTACACACAAACAATGATGACCAAGTCATCCTGACTCTCACTCTCATACGTAGTTATGTATATTAACTCAAATTAAGTTTAATTAACAACTGTCCATTAATAAACAGAAAGGTTCAGGCGGGGATCGAACCGCCGTCCTCACATTTACAGTCTGACGCTCTACCGACTGAGCTAACCAAGGAAATCATACGGAAGTATTCAGAAGTAATTGTAATTGTATTATATTGTATTACAGTACAGTAGTCAAAAGGTTACAGAGGTGCATAATGTATCCAGGAACTGGGCCCCAAAGTTTTGATTCAAATTCAAAGTTTATTCTCTATAAGGATTACAATGCTGAGTGTACAGAATTTGGTTATTGTGTGGTTTACATGTAGTAAAATAATAATTACAGAGTGTACCACTAGAACACCTAGCATGGCTAGGCATTTCGGGCAGACTTAGTTTAATTCTTAATTTTAAAATATTACAAATTATGAGGTAAGTTGGTATTATGGCTAAGTGACTAAATACTAGTTTGTGAGTTTAGCAATGTGAATGCTTTTGTTTTGGCACGGTACATAGTTTCAGTATTGGAGTATCACAGGATTCATTATTTTAAGACTGAGATTAATATTTCTGTTTATGGTCAAATGGGTGAGTGAGCGTAAGTGTGAACCACCAGGTGGTATTTGTGTGGTATTCGTGTAGTTAGTTGATGGGGTGTATCAGGGAGATAAGATGTTTTCTAATGGTAGTTTTGAAGGTGATGAATGTGTCTGTAGTTCTAGAGTTCTCAGGTAGGGTGTTCCAGATTTTAGGGCCTTTGACATACATTGAATTTTTGTAAAGGTTTAGTCGGACACGGGAAATGTCGTAGAGATGTTTGTGTCTGGTGTTATGCCTGTGGGTTCTGTCACAACTATCAATAAAGCGTTTTAGGTGAAGGTTGATATTGGAGTTTAAGGTCCTGTAGATGTAGATTGCACAGTAGTAAGTGTGGATGTACTGAACAGGGAGTAAGTTTAGATCTATGAAGAGTGGGGGGGGGGTGTTGCCAGGGATGGGATTTAGTGATTATTCTTACTGCAGCTTTTTGTTGGGTTATTATTGGCTTTAGGTGTGTTGCTGCAGTTGATCCCCAAGCACAAATAGCATAGGTGAGGTATGGATAAATAAGTGAGTGGTATAGTGTGAGAAGGGCATTTTGCGGCACGTAGTATCGTATCTTGGAGAGGATCCCAACCGTTTTGGATACTTTTTTGGTTATGTGTTGGATATGGGTGCTGAAATTCAGGTTGTTGTCAAGGTATAGCCTAGGAATTTGCCCTCATTATGTCTGGTAATTAGAGTGTTGTCGATCTTAATGTTAATTTGTGCATCTCCTGCTCTGCTACCAAACATAATATAGTAGGTTTTGTCAGTGTTAAGCGTAAGTTTATTGGCTGTCATCCAAGTCGATATTTTGATCAGCTCCTCATTAACAATGGTGTTGAGGGTGGCAAGATTAGGGTGAGAGATGACATAAGTCGTGTCGTCAGCAAAGAGAATGGGTTTCAGGTGTTGGGATACGTTTGGAAGATCATTGATGTATATGAGGAAGAGCAGGGGACCAAGGACACTTCCCTGCGGAACTCCAGTATCAAGTGGCCGTGTTGTTGATGCTGTCTTTAATGGTGACATACTGATACCTATTAGTAAGGTAAGATTTGAAATAAGCAAGCGCATGGCCTCTTATACCGTAATGGTCAAGTTTGTGGAGTAGGATGCCGTGGTCTACTGTGTCAAAAGCTTTTCTTAGGTCAATAAAATTTCCTAGTGGATATTCCTTATTTTCCAATGCTGTGTAAAGCAGATCTAGCATTTTTATGATTGGATCATTAGTGCTTTTATTTTTCCTGAATCCAGATTGGCAGGGGTTGAGTATGTTTTGTGCCATTATAAATGAATATAGTCTCCTGTGCACGAGTTTCTCAAAGATTTTGGATAGCAATGGTAAGTTTGATATTGGCCTATAGTTGTTTAAGTCTGTAGGGTCACCACCTTTATGTATTGGTGTAACCCTTGCCATCTTGAGTAGTTTTGGGAAGGTGCTAGTTTCTAGTGACTTGTTAAAAAGTAATGAAATAGCATGCGAAAGGACATGGGCCGCTCGCTTGTACAGTAATGGTGGGACATGAGACAGATTCCCTGAGTTATTTTTAAGTGACTTTATAATCTCGGTGACTTCCGTGGGCTCAGTTGGAGCAAGATAGAAGGAATTTGGGAAATTCCCATCTAGGTAGTCCCTGGCATGGGCATTGGTATGTGGGATTTTATTGGCGAGATTAGATCCTATGGTTGAGAAGAAGTCGTTTATCTTGTTAGCTGTGTCAGTGGGATGTAGTGGTGTTTTCATTAGGTTTAGTTAGGACAATATTCTTGTTTTTTTTTCAGTTTGTGGGTCCCTAGAATCTGAGAGAGTGTTTTCCAGGTCTTTTTTATATCTCCTCTAGTGTCTGTGAATCTACTGGAGTAGTATAGTTGTTGGCTTTCTTTATTACTTTGGTGAGAACTGATGAATAGTGTTTTAAGAATATCTTTGTGTATTAAGCCCTGTCTATATTGCTTTTCATATTGGTGTTTCTTGTCAATGGATTTCAGAATGGTGCTGGTTAGCCATGGGCAACCAAGCCGTTTGTTTGTGATCTGTTTCGTTTTTATAGGGCAATGTTTGTTGTAGAGTCTAAGTAATTTGTTAAAAAAATGTCTGTCCAGTCATCAATACCATTGGCCTTGGAGAATTCTGTAGGCCAGTCAACAGTCTCTAGGTCAGCTGTGAACTTCCTTATTGAGGCCTCGTCATGGAGTCTAAATGAGACTTTGTTGTATTCAAGTGGTGGTTTACTAATGTTTGTCAGGAGGAAGGTAGGGTAGTGGTCTGTAGTGCTATCTGTGATTATCCCTGATTTAAGGGGGGCTAGTATATTGGTCCATATGTGGTCTATTATGGTTGCACTTGTCTCAGTGAGCCTGGTTGGTTTAGTTATTGTTGGTATGAGAAGTGTGTTGTTCATATTGTTGATTAAACCAGTTACAGGCTGATCATCTAGTATGCCAAGGTTGATGTTGAAGTCTCCAGCTAAGAGAAGGTGGTGCTTATTCATTTGTCTGTTTGTTATTAGTGACTTTAACTATGTACAAAGGTAATGAATCATGTAAGTAAGTAAATTTACTTAAGTTTATATATGGCTATAATTATGAACAAATTATAGAGTAATGAGCAATTCACACGTCCACACCCGGTCACAACTGTAATGAGTTATTGGTGCAAATAAAATTTTTTGGGTCACACACACACACAGGGACTTAACACACACACACACACACACACACACACACACACACACACACACACACACACACACACACAGGGACCTAACACACACACACACACACACACACAGGGACTTAACACACACACACACACACACACACACACACACACACACACACACACACACACACACACACAGGGACTTAACACACACACACACACACAGGGACTTAACACACTCACACACACACGCACACACGCACACATCACATCATTCTTGATAATCAACTTTATGTTCTTTTTATCTGATAATTCAGATCTTTATCATTTTTCGTGGTGGGTCTGAGGGCGTCTCAATGTCCAGTTGACGTTTAACAGACGTATCCGTCTTCCTTATATCAGCCAGATGACTTTTAATCACGGGTCGCAGTATACTTTCTTGGAAATTGTCGGTGGAAGTATCTATATCATTGTCGAATTCAGTCAGCATTGAGTTGACCATATTGATTGCTTTAATATCTGGGAAATATTTCATTCTCATGTAGACCCAGCGGCAGATGTCGTTGGCCTTCTTGAGACCGGAACTGGCAGTTATGTCCATGAAGGCCAGTGCATGGTAGGGGCAGGTACCGCCTCCCTGTTCTACAATTGTAAGTCCTAACAATTTTCTGTAACAGGTACGGTTATTCTTGTAGTATTTCTTCACCACACTGCGGGCGGTAAGTTCACTACCACCATTATGGTAGATTAATTAATGCTCCATCATGAGAGGCGTACAGAGAGATTGATGAGACATCAGTACAATACGACCGTGACCTTCGGGTATTGGAGGCCCATGTAAACTTTGCCAGATGGATTATTGTCACACCCTGCGTCATTATGTACTGGAGTGCGATAAAATTAATGAATTTAGAAACAACTCAGAAGTGTTCAAGAAATGGCTAAGTATTTTATCCACAGTGGTATATTACAGACCATTCTGGAGAAATACCCTGACTTTGCTAGCTGTAAATAAAGCATTACCACATATGTGCATGTGTGTGTGTGTGTGTGTGTGTTAGTTAGTTACCATATTGTCCTAGGCACATGTCGATTAGACACTAGGCCTGTTGTATATGAGTACGTGTGTGTGTGTGTGTATGTCTGTCTGTGTGTGTGTCTGTGTGTGTGTCTGTGTATGTGTTGTGTGTGTGTGTTGTGTGTGTGTGTTGTGTGTGTTGTGTGTGTTGTGTGGTGTGTGTGTGTGTTTGTGTGTGTGTGTGTGTGTGTGTGTGTGTGTACTCACCTAGTTGTACTCACCTAGTTGAGGTTGCAGGGGTCGAGTCCAAGCTCCTGGCCCCGCCTCTTCACTGGTCGCTACTAGGTCACTCTCCCCGAACCCTGAGCTTTATCGTACCTCTGCTTAAAGCTATGTATGGATCCTGACTCCACTACATCGCTTCCCAAACTATTCCACTTCCTGACTACTCTGTGGCTGAAGAAAACTTCCTAACATCCCTTTGATTCATCTGTGTCTTCAACTTCCAACTGTGTCCCCTTGTTTACTGTGTCCAATCTCTGGAACATCCTGTCTTTGTCCACCTTGTCAATTCCTCTCAGTATTTTGTAAGTCGTTATCATGTCCCCCCTATCTCTCCTGTCCTCCAGTGTCGTCAGGTTGATTTCCCTTAACCTCTCCTCATAGGACATACCTCTTAGCTCTGGGACTAGTCTTGTTGCAAACCTTTGCACTTTCTGTTGTGTGTGTGTGTGTGTGTGTGTTGTGTGTGTGTGTGTGTGTGTTGGGTGTGTGTGTGTGTGTATGTGTACTCACCTATTTGTACTCACCTATTTGTGGTTGCAGGGGTCGAGTCCTAGCTCCTGGCCCCGCCTCTTCACCGGTTGCATGAGTGTGTGTGTGTGTGTGTGTGTGTGTGTGTGTACTCACCTATTTGTGGTTGCAGGGGTCGAGTCCTAGCTCCTGGCCCCGCCTCTTCACCGGTTGCTACTAGACCCTCTCTCTCCCCGCTCCATGAGCTTTATCAAACCTCGTCTTAAAACTGTGTATGGTTCCTGCCTCCACTACGTCATTTTCTAGGCTATTCCACTGCCTTACAACTCTATGACTGTGTGTGTGTGTGTGTGTGTGTGTGTGTGTGTGAGTATGAGTGTGTGTGTGTGTGTGTGTATGAGTGTACTCACCTAGTTGAGGTTGCGGGGGTCGAGTCCGAGCTCCTGGTGTGTATGAGTGTGTGTGCGTGTGTGTATGAGTTTGTGTGTGTGTGTGTGTGTGTGTGTGTGTGTGTGTGTGTGTGTGTGTGTGTGTGTGTGTGTGTGTGTGTGTGTGTGTTTATGTGTGTGTGTGTATGAATTTGTATGTGTGTGTGTGTGTGTGTGTGTGTGAGAGACAGAGACTCAACAATCAATATTTGCACCAATAACTCACTACAGTTGTGACCGGGTGTGGAAGTGTGAATTGCTCATTACTCTAAAATTTGTTCATGATTGCAGCCATGTATAAACGTAAGTAACCATTCTTACAGTATTCATTACCTTTGTAACTTGTGAGTTCATTACCTTTGTAACTTGTGAGTTCATTACCTTGTACCTAGTTCAGCCATCAAAACTTTGGGGCCCAGTCCCTGGATCCATTACGTACCTCTGTAATCTGTAAATACCTTTGTAACTTGTCATGATTGTGACTAGACCTACCTGGAGTTCATTACCTTTGTAAATTGCGAGTTCATTACCTTTGTAAATTGTGAATTCATTACCTCTGTAACTTGCTCAGCTATCAAAACTTTGAGGCCCAGTCCCTGGACCCATTATGTACCTCTGTAATCTTTTGACTACCGCCCACAGGATGGGTATGGGGTGCATAATAAACATATTAAACTAAAACTGCGACAGACTTCACATACTTTACCGAAAGTGCGAGGAGTCCCACGAACGATGGTCCCGATATCACATCTCCGCAATGCTTTGGTAGTCTCCATGAGAGGGTGATACACACCAAGGAATTCGACATCCTCACTCTTCTCTTCACTTACCATCCTGCTGGTGAACCTGGGAGGGATACACTAACTACTGGGTACTAGTGGGGTTCGAACCCCACGCCGCTTGAGTCTTACGCCTCTTAGAGGGTGTGCTAACCACTAGGCTACGGGGACACAAGTAAATATAAACAAAAAAATCTATACACCACAAGAATGTTAGGTACCTTATAGGAATAGTGATAATGCTGTGTTATATAGTGATAGTGTATCATTTAGTGATAGTGAATCATTTAGTGATAGTCGTGTTATGTAGTGAAGATAGTGCTGTGTTATATAGTGAAGATAGTGCTTTGTTATGTGAAGATAGTGCTGTGTTATATAGTGAAGATAGTGTTTTGTTATGTGAAGATAGTGCTGTGTTATATAGTGATAGTGTATCATTTAGTGATAGTCTTGTTATGTAGTGAAGATAGTGCTGTGTTATATAGTGAAGATAGTGCTGTGTTATGTAGTGAAGATAGTGCTTTGTTATGTAGTGAAGATAGTGCTGTGTTATATAGTGAAGATAGTGCTGTTATATAGTGAAGATAGTGCTGTGTTATGTAGTGAAGATAGTGCTGTGTTATATAGTGAAGATAGTGCTGTGTTATATAGTGAAGATAGTGCTTTGTTATGTAGTGAAGATAGTGCTGTGTTATATAGTGAAGATAGTGCTGTGTTATGTAGTGAAGATAGTGCTGTGTTATATAGTGAAGATAGTGCTGTGTTATATAGTGAAGATAGTGCTGTTATATAGTGAAGATAGTGCTGTGTTATGTAGTGAAGATAGTGCTTTGTTATGTAGTGAAGATAGTGCTGTGTTATATAGTGAAGATAGTGCTGTTATATAGTGAAGATAGTGCTGTGTTATGTAGTGAAGATAGTGCTTTGTTATGTAGTGAAGATAGTGCTGTGTTATATAGTGAAGATAGTGCTGTTATATAGTGAAGATAGTGCTGTGTTATGTAGTGAAGATAGTGCTGTGTTATATAGTGAAGATAGTGCTGTGTTATATAGTGAAGATAGTGCTTTGTTATGTAGTGAAGATAGTGCTGTGTTATATAGTGAAGATAGTGCTGTGTTATGTAGTGAAGATAGTGCTGTGTTATATAGTGAAGATAGTGCTTTGTTATGTAGTGAAGATAGTGCTGTGTTATATAGTGAAGATAGTGCTTTGTTATGTAGTGATATTAGTGCTTTGTTATGTAGTGAAGATAGTGCTGTGTTATATAGTGAAGATAGTGCTGTGTTATATAGTGAAGATAGTGCTGTGTTATGTAGTGAAGATAGTGCTGTGTTATATAGTGAAGATAGTGCTTTGTTATGTAGTGAAGATAGTGCTGTGTTATGTAGTGAAGATAGTGCTGTGTTATATAGTGAAGATAGTGCTGTGTTATATAGTGAAGATAGTGCTTTGTTATGTAGTGAAGATAGTGCTGTGTTATATAGTGAAGATAGTGCTGTGTTATATAGTGAAGATAGTGCTGTGTTATATAGTGAAGATAGTGCTTTGTTATGTAGTGAAGATAGTGCTGTGTTATATAATGAAGATAGTGCTGTGTTCAATAGTGATATTAGTGCTGTGTTATATACTTAAGATAGTGCTGTGTTATATACTGAAGATAGTGCTGTTATACCATAGATAGTGCTGTGTTATACAGAAGACATAAATGTGTTATAGCAAAAATAGTGTTCCATTATAGTGAAGACAGTGCTGGGTTATAGTAATGATAGTGCTGTGAAGATAGTGCAGTGTAGTGAACTGTTTTACTGAGAATGTTTTTCCTGGAGTGAGGACATACATGGTCACTATACACAAATAACCACACAAAGAAGAGAGGAGCTTACGACGACGTTTCGGTCCGACTTGGACCATTTACAAAGTCACACTAACCAGAAGTAGAGCAGGACGGCTATATATAAGCAGGAAGAGGTAGTGGTGGTAGTAGTGGTAGTAGTAGTAGTAGTGGTGGTAGTAGTAGTAGCAGTAGTAGCTGTGGAAATTTATTTGGTCCCTAAAGTTCCACAGGACAGACACGGCGAACCAAGGGATCCCAGCAAGTCCATAATGGAACGGCTGATCTGGGTGGGCCTTAAACCTACCCAAACAAAAAGGGTTCTCCCCGAGTTGGCGTGGTTGGTAAGCACTATTTAAGTTATAGATTTACCAAGATAAGTTAGCTAGGGAGAACTGGCAGCCCCAGTTTGAACGAAGAGACGAGGGTCTGGAAGAGAGACCAGCTCGTTCTTCTTAAGACAGACACCAACTGGACAAGACGTGCCGTGATCAGCAGACGGCGCCCCCCACGTGTCTTCACATTCGAGACCTGGGGAAATCTGGTAGAGGCACCTCGATGTACCGTAGATGACCTCCGTCGCCCATACAGTAAGACAAGACCTCCACTTTATCTCGTAGATTTCTGGCCAGTGTCTGGGGAGAATTGTGATCTGTAGGCCCTTTGTGCAGCAGGCAGTGCATGCCCAGTAAGTACCAGTGTCTCTTGTCAGTCTGGAAGCTAGTGTCCGTGTCTGCATAGTTACACTAGGGGATGTGTGATGAATGGTTTGAAAAACCGACATGTTGAAGATTGAGACACTTATGCAGCATATGGGAATCTTTATTCAGGAAACGTTTC